TTTATTTGATGTAAACAAGACATTTTACAAACTTTATTTTGCTCTCAATAGACTAGAATACTCGAGATCTTTTGCAGGGGTAATGGTTACCTTTTTATTCATGTTTAAAAAAATCGTTTTCGGGGGTTTTTGGGTGTTAAACTACGTGTCAGTCAGTGACGGACACAAAACCCCAACCCCCACTGGATCCGCCACTGTGAACGCCTCTAGCACAACCGATTTTGCTCATAATTTCTCCATTTTGTGCAGTTTCACGTTGGTTTGGTATGTTTGCAAATTTTTTACTAAAAGTGATACTAAATATGAAATTTTGCCATTATTATAATGATTTATTTCGGCATAAGTTAAGAATAAGGCCCATTCGTGCTTTTGTAGTTACATATTCAAAATTGTCTCTTTGTTTTCTCAACAAAGTTAAACTTTACAGCTCAATTTACATTTAAAGTCCGTTTTAAACTTTATAGCTATGTATGTCTAAAGTAAAGCGTTTCTATTGTCGGGTTTTGACGTTTGTATGTTTCTTGGCTGCAAACAAATTAAAAACTGACAATCAAATGATTTACTTTAGGCACAACTATCAATTTTACAGCAACCCTTAAATATAAAGTGAGCTTTAAAGTTAATGGTTAATTGAGAAAACGTCCCTAAGCGTGTTTATTTTTTCCCCAAATATATATTTTTTTTTGTATTTCGATGCCGTCCCGGTTAATTCTGAAAGTTGTTAACATTTACATCAACTATCGATTGTACTATCGATAGTAGCGCTTGTCACTATCGATGGTATTGCTGCAAACTATCGACCAGTAATGATAGTTTTTTCTCGCTCTTAAGAGTAGTTCCCCAGTACGTTTTTCCAACGAAAAATTGAATTAGAAAATTTTCAGAAAACTAGCCGAAATCGTACCCAGTGATCGGACTTCAAAAAATTTGTGTGGTAGAATCTGGAAAAAAATGTGGTAGATCTCTGGTTCTGGATCCAACTTTGTACAAAAATTAAAAAAAAATCTGAAAGGTTTCACCTAAATTGCAAACATTTTAATTAGAATCTACAAAAAAAAATAAAAATTAATTTTAGTATAATAAAGTGCAAGATTGAAGTTGCTAAAAATTGCGTTGAGTTGACAGTGTAAAGCAGTTCCTTCCATATCAAGATATTTTTCGAACATACTTTGAGAGATTTCTGCAACCTTGCGGAGTGCTGCCAGGTGTTTTTTTATCACATCAGGATGTAGCGAACAAATGAGGCACTTTCCAGAAACCGCTACTTGGGATTCGCCAGTTTTGACAATTCTAAACTAAAAGTAAACAACGCCTTAGAAACTTTAGATGCCCTGAAATTTGCTAATATTTACTTTCACAAAAATCGCCGTTTTTTAACATTTTTGCTATTAATTCTTTTTACAAATGGTAAGTTTTGCAATTTAATAGAATAAAACCACGTTTCCTATCGAAAAATTGATTATTGAGAAAATTTACTATTTTAAAGTTTATTTTATCCTCCCAATCGGCTTCGTTGTAAGTGTTAGTGTTGGACAATTTTTGCTCTTAAAACCAAGAAAACTATGTCGATCAAAAATAAAAAACGCGAATATGTGGTAGATTTTAGACCTTGTGGGGTAGATGTGGTAGATGCTCAAAAAAGTAGCAGATCTACCACAATGTGGTAGAAGTCCGATCACTGATCGTACCCTTTTCACAACCCCTTTCGGTACTTCCGCAGACCTAATCCGCGTTTCATCCACTTTTCTTCTCGTTTTCCGATTAACTTTCGGATTTTTTGCTGGCTGGGCTTTTCTCGTAACAAGCGCAGCAGCTTCGCGCACGTGTATTTGTTACTTATTCATTGGAACTTCACAAACACACTGCGAAAGCGCGAATCAACACCCGTATTGGATGACGCTGCGAAGACAACAGAGGTCTGTGAAATTAAATAAAATACATCTTTGGTTTTCCTAGCACGTCGAGATTTTTTTATTGGTGAAATGTATATTTTAGAATTTCTAGCAATTTGTATGAAACCCCTATAAATAAACAAAGTAAATCAGAAAAACGTATGTAACTTTGAAGTTAACGCTAAGAAAATTGATAACAGCAGGTTTCGCCAGCAATTTAAATGGAAAATGATTTTTATTTTCTGTCAATTTCCATATAAAATTCAAAAAATTTAAATAATTTTTCACTTAAAGTGCTTTCGTGAAATTGACTGTCAAAATTATTTTCTTAGCGTTAACGCGAATTACCAGCGTTAACTTGGAAGGTTTAGAAGAAACCATTGACGAATGTTTTCCCCAACATTGAATCTGAGGATGCCTTCAGCTGGATAACATACCCGTTTTCACGTGACCCGAAAAGTAAACCTACCGAGATGACAAATTAACCTTTTGGAAACCTTCTGGACATCAGTGAAAACAGAGTTCTGGAGGCAAGTGTATGCAGAAAACACTGCTGTTGGCAAAATTGCATTAAAAATACTAGTGACTTTTACTTTTACATTTCTATGTGAGACCGCATTTTCAACAAATGCTTACATAAACAAGTAATTTTTAAGCAAAAAACAAAACCGACTTCAATTCCCATATAAAAATTTTACGATTATCGTTAATCTCTTCCTGTAAACCAAATTAGAATGGAACACATTTCCTTAAAAAAAAAAACGTGGTCCAAAGTTATGCGGTACAATACATTAAAAAAATAATAATAATAAAAAATATTTCGACGAATTGATAACCTTCTCCTTTTTGTGTAGTTGGTTAAAACAGCGTCGGCGTCCAATGATTTCAGGGTAAAATTGGCAAAGCTCCCAATAAACTTAAGGGAAATAATGAAATCATCATAACAATTTCAGTCCTCACATTAAAGCTAAATGAGCGTAAAGTTTGAATTGTGTTTTCTTGTTTTCGTAGACATATGAATAGGAGGGGTGCCGCGAAATTTTTTTACCACTAAAAAGGTGCCGCGGTGAAAAAAGTTTGTGGACCCCTGCTCTAGCAAGACGCTGAATGGCTCAACAATATTCCAAATGCCTACATCGATCCGCTAGGCGTATGATTGCACTAAAAAATCCAAAACATCAAGCATACAGTTACAATCTTGTGTAAATTGCCAATCTTGTGCAGTATTGACAGTTTGGTAGTGGTTCAGATGAATGTTAGGTTGGTTTAAGTGGATTGTCACCCTGGTGACAAGCAAGTTTGGCATTTTGATTCCACAACTCTTACAACCTGCAACCATTTGGTGGCAGGAATGGCTTGCCGAGTGTGTTAAGCCTCATCCTTGCCAGGGCTGGACACTCGCACACGAAGTGTTCGACTGCCTCTTTTGAGCCAGGGTCATCGCAACTGCGACTGAACCTGTTGAAGGGCAATCCAATCCTTTCAACATGTATCCCTACGGGCCAGTACCCTATGCACACTGCAGTAAGCCTACATTTTGCTCATTTCTAAGAGACTTTTGGTTTTAAGTGGAGCTAGATTTAGCTCTTTATTTTTTTATTTAGCTCCGAAAATTGGGCTTTAGCTCCTAACTATTTTTATAGCTCTTTTCAAGTGCTCTAGAACTTTTCTAGCTCCAGAAAGTTTTAGTTGTAATATATTAAAATTAAAAATCTGTAATTTCATTGCAAAAGTGTTGACTAAAACTTATTTGGCTTTGGTGATCTCAGGCAATTTTCGATACCGTCATGATCTTCTATTTCGATTAATGGGTACTACATAGTCCTAATCCTAATAGGTAATAGTCCCAGTTCCACTCCTAATGCAATTGGCGCACAAGCAAATGGAAAAAGGGCAAGTATAATTCGAGCTCCGATAAGCTCAGACGGTCTATCCTCTCCCAGGCGACCACGGTAGAAAAGTAGAGCCAAAACTTAAGCGTTGATAAAATTACAAATTTCGAGATGCCACTCTCTTGGCAAACTCTTGGAGCCAGGTTAAAGAATTCAAAAATGAATTAGAAAAAATCCTTTTCCTAACGCGCACTTTTTGTTTTTACCTTACTAACTTCACCTTAAGGAGGGAAGGAAATAAAACTTTTCCGAAAAATTTTGCGAAAAAACGATTTCGTAACCCGAGTTTTTATGGTCAATTCAAATATTTGAAATTGCAGATTTTAACAGTTTGTAAAGTATTTTTAGTTCACTGTCTAGTTTATCAAATAAAACACCTCTTTGAGGTAAAATTTTCGCGTGACGAAAGCTGAACTAGAAACACAAAATTTATGATATCAATTTCGTGACGAAAATTATACGCATTTTTTAACTGCCTTTGAAACGTAGGGAAAATCTTTTTTATTCGTACGAATCGTTGCAAAAGTTCTGTTTATTTATTTTGTGTTTCTAGCAGTAAGCGGAATTTCGCAACGTTCCGAATAAATAACAAAAGATTTTCCGTGCGTTTCAAAGGCAGTTAAAAAATGCGTATAATTTTCGTCAAGAAATTGATATCATAAATTTTGTGTTTCTAGTTCAGCTTTCGTCACCCGGAAAGTTTACCTCAAAGAGGTGTTTTGTTTGATATCAATTATTTTAGGGTAGCACATTTAAAATCGACGAAAATACAAACAATAATCTAAATGTTTTATTTTTCTGAAATAAGTTGCTAAAAATGTTATCTAAATATAAATTATGTATTCAAATCGATGTGTCCATTAAAACACATAGTTTTTCGAATGCGGAATAAAGCGAAAAAGAATGATCATATCCTTTGTATTTAAAGAAATTAAAAATATAAAAAAATTATGAGAAATGATAAAAACTTATCAACTTGGTACCAACTTTGGATACAATAAACAACTGTATTCGCCTGATTGTATCGTAGTTTATTTTTGTTAAGATTTCTACCGGGTGTGGGGGGCACACATGTGCTTTTTTAAGAAGTTTTACTTCTATCGCGTGTACGGTGTTGTACTCGTGCTATTAAACTAATGCTTTTTTCTCAAGTAGTTTTGCTGAGTGGCAATATATACATA